AGGGCTGCCGGGCTCTGGGCGCAGCCTGGAGAGGGATTCTGCTGCTGCGCGGTGGGCACCGCCTGCTCTCTGGAGTAGAGGTGATGACCAGGCGCCGGCGTCGCCACCCCCCAGCCGCTGGACCTCAGGGCTTTGTGGACTGGTGCATGTCACCTCGGATTGTTCAGGGACCACCCTTCCAATCCACAAAGAAATGTCAGGCGATGATCCGGCGCGCAGCCCCCGCAGGGGGCAGCGGACTGAACAGAGGCGGCCCCTGGCGCCCAACCCAGCCCGTTCTTCCTCTGCCACCGGCCTGCCCAAGGACAGCTACCTCGCGACCACAGTATGTTAGTGCTGGGCACTGTGCTAGCAAATGGTCCTGCTCAATGTTATTTATCCCTCTTTAGGCTCTAATCAGTATTATGGTGATGTGGCCAAATGATGTATTTTTGGTCTTAATTTTTAAAAAAATTCTATATGGGGTTTGTGTGTGTGTGTGTTTAAATATGTTCTCATTGATTTTAGAGAGAGGGGAAGGGAGAAGAAGAGAGAGGGAAACACTGATGTGAGAGAGAAACATCCAGGGGTTGCCTCCCTACTGCGCCCCTCGGGGGCTGGAACCCGCAACCGACTGAGGAAGCGGAGGAAGCTCCAACCAGCTGAGCCCCACGGCCTGGGCCAGTTTTAATTCTTGAAAACCATTTTTTCATCCTGCCTTTACAAGCAGTGCTGGTGCTGTTTTCAGTGGTATCAGGACGAGTTTAGTCCTCTGAGCACTCACGTTACCCAAGTGATATGGATCGTTCCTCACAGTATCGAGTGGAGAGGAGAGCTTTGCCCCCCCCCAGGGCATTGCCGCAGGAGCATGCTCTCCCTCTCGGGACAGGTGAGCAGCGGTTGCCCATCCCCTCCAGGAGGAGCTGTCCCGGCCGTGGAAAACCAAGCCCCAATGTGCTCTGCTGATTTGTACATTCATGGCTGGAAGGCTAGAGGGAGGAGATCCCATCAGAACGGGTTCTAAAATCACGCCATATAATAATCATCTTATAGCACAAAGGAGGGCTAGGGTTAGGGATTAGCTCCAGGAAGAAAGGCAGTAAGGAAGGGGGGGGGAAAGGCAGGAGAAGGAATATTTAACAAGTGGGGCAATTCGCACTTGAGGGTGGTGGCCAGTGGGGTCCAGGGTCTGAGATCTGGCCCCCCCCCGTTTGCAACAAATCAGAAGAATCCACTCCAGACCAGCGCCCTCTGCTTTCGGGAGTTGGGCAGTAGAGGTGATAACTGAGGAGACATTTGATTGCCTCTTGTAAGCCTAAAATCACTGAGGCACACCAAGGGTCGGTAATACAGTGCCAGATAGTCCTTTTACATGGGCTTACTTACATTCAGTTAATCAGAGATAAGACTTAGCATCCAAATGCAAATGGTTGTGATTAAGGTGTGAGAGGAAGAGTGGGGATCCTTGGTGCCACACTTGGGAGCAGGGAGAAGAATATGGGTCCACAAAGTAAAATCATTATGGAATAGCACCTAGAACATGGTAGGCGCTCAAGATGTGTTTGTTGAATATAAATATACAAATGATCTGCCTTAGTTATTTATTTAAAAATGTGTGGAGCAAATGGAGGCTGCGTTTAGAGTAAAATAGTGGAAGGCTATGGTCTGCAATTTCAGAAGGGCATTCATTAATTTTGTAGATTTGTTTTTCCATTTATAAGTTAAGTGTAATCATTATAGAGAAGTAAGAAAAACAAGCATAAAGAAATAATTCATCCGAGTTACATCTGAGTTATAACCTTTATTAGCATTTTGAAATATATCCTTCTAGAATGTTCCTCAGGCAAATCTATATATCTAATATCTATAGGCATATGTGTGTGTGTGTATATATATATATATGTGTGTGTGTGTATATATATATACATACATATATTTTTTTTTGGAAAAAGGGGAGTAATTCTTTTTTCAATTGATTTTTTTTTTTTTTAGAGAGAGAAACCGATGTGCGAGAGAAACATCCATCGGTTGCCTCCCGTAAATGCCCCAACCGGGGATCGAACCCACAATCTGGGTATGTGTCCTGACCGGGAATCAAACCTGCAACCTTTGGGTTCATGGGATGATGCTCTAACCAACTGAGCCACCCAGCCGGGGTGATAGGCATATATTAGAGGAGGTCTAAGGGTGTGACCCAAATTTAATCTAACTGGTTACCTTATAAGAAGAGAAAGAAACTGGTGAGGTGCTCACACAGAGAAACAGCCATGTGAAGACATAGCTAGAAGACAGCCATCTGCAAGCCAAGGAGAGAAGCCTCAGGAGAAACCAAACCTGCTGACACTTTGACCTTGGACTTCTAGTCTTCAGAACTGTAAGAAAATACATTTCTGTTGTTTTAAGCTACCCAGTCTGTGCTATTTTGTATGGCAGTCCTAGCAGACTAACACAGCTCTCATGTTCCTTTAAACATTCGATGCTTAGTTGCTATTTTAATATTGTTGGAGAATAGAGAGGAATCTGATGATTGAATACATATCAAATGAGGTAATGGGGTTTTTTTGTGTGTGTGTGGCGAAATTCATGTAACTTAAAATTAACAACCTTAAAGTATGCGGTTCAGTAGCATCTAGTACCTTAACAATGTTGTGCAACCACCACTTCTATCAAGTTCCAAACATTTCATCATCCCCAAAGAAACCCTCAAACACATGAAGCAATCACTCCCCATTTCCCTTTCCCCACCATTTCTTAAAACCACAAATCTGCTTCTTTTTGTGTGGATTTACCTGTTCTGGATATTTTATATAAATGGATTCATACAATATGTGATCTTTTGTCACTAGATTTTTTCACTTAGGATAGTGTTTTTGAGATCCATCTGTGTGGCAGCATATATTAGTATTTTATTCCTCTTTATAACTGAACAATATCCTATTGTAATGTATGTACCACATTCTGTTTATGCATTCGTCTGAGATGGGCATTTGTGTTGTTTTTACTTTTTTGGCTACTGTGCATAGTTCTGGCATGAACATTGGAGTGCAAATACTTGAGTTCTTGTTTTCAGTTCTTTGGAATCCCGACAAGTAAATTGCTGAATCGTGGTAATTCTATGTTTAACTTTTGAGGAACCAACAGACTGTTTTCCACAGCAGCTGTAGCATTTTATATTCCCACCGATATATGAAGTATATGAGGGTTCTGATCTCTACACATCGTTACCAACCCTTGTAATTGTCCATGTTTCAGTTCTAGCCATGATGCTGAGTGTGAAGTGGTATCTCTTTGTGGTTTTGATTACTTAGTGACTAGGAATGTTGAACATCTTTTTACGCGCTTGTTGGTCATCTTTCTTTGGAGAAATGTCTGTTTAAGTCCTTTGCCCATTATTTTTTTATTGAGTTGTTTGTGTTTTGGAGGTTATAAGAGTTCTTTATATATTCTGGATACTAGATCCTTATCAGATATATAATTTTTAAATATATTTTCCCGTGGTCTTTCTTGATAATGATTTTTGACACAGTTTTAAATTTTGATGAACTCTAATTTATCTATTTTTTCCTTTTGTTTCTTGTGCCTTTGGTGCCATTTTTAAGAAACCATTATCTAATCCAAGGTCATGAAAATTTAGATCTATGCTTCCTTCTAAGAAGTTTATGGTTTTAGCTTTTATATTTATGGTTTTGACATATTTTGAGTTAATTTTTGTATGTGGTGTGAGGTAGGGGGTTCGGCTTTGATTTTTTGCACGTGGATATCCAGTTGTCCCAGCACCATTTGTGGAAAAGACTATTCTTTTCCTCTTGAGTGCTTGGCTACCCTTGTTAAAAATCAGTTGTCCATTATATTAGTTTGCTAAAGCTACCATACCAAAGTACCACAGACTGGGTGGTTTAAAACAACATACATGTATTTTCTTACAGTTCCGGAGGCTAGAAGTCTGAGAGAAAGTGTCAGCAGGTTTGGTTCCTCCTGAGGAGAGAATGTGGTTTGCAGGTGGCCATCTTCTGGCTGTGGTCTCACATGGCATTTCCTCTGTGCCCACATATCCCTGGTGTCTCTATCTGTATGTCCTAATCTCCTCTTCTTATAAGTATCCCAGTCAAATTGGGTTAGGGTTCACTTTAATGTCCTCACTTTTACTTAATTGCCTCTTGGCCCTGTCCCCAAATATGGTCACACTCTGAGGTGCTAGGGGTTAGAATCTCAACATATGAATTTGAGGGGAACACAATTTAGTCCGTTACAGCCATAGATGTGAGGATTTATTTCTAGACTCTCAATTCTATTCCATTGGTCTATATGTCTCTCC